AAAGCACATACTGGCCCAAAAATAAAAATAAAAACATCTGTGCCATGACCTCTGGATATAACTATGACCTCATTTAGGAAGATATTTTCTTATATTTAGAGTTTGTGAACTTTTGTACTTATCTCACACTTTACAAGTCAAGTCCGTACTATAAAGTTTCTTTAAAGACAACTGTTAAAACAATTCAAATACTGTAATGACAAACAACTTTAGTGAATACAGTTTTATATTCTAGTTTCAACAAAGTTGGACTAATTTCTAACCCCGAGGTTAGAAAACACGACGCTCTGCTCACACGGCGCTGTGTTGAGGCCATGTGTGAGCGATTTGGGGCTACTGTGGAAGCTCTGCGGCGGTTTGAAGTTTTCCAGCTAAACGCTGAGATTGTTGTCTCGGTGTCGAGGACGCAGCCATTAAGCTGTCGTGTGAGGTGCTGCGCAGGTCGCTCAGATGCGATCAGACGTGGGCAGAGGTCAAACGTCCAAACAGACCTGCAAACTCAGACAAGAAAGCCATTACGTCTCTGACTACAGCGTTTACATTCATGTAGATTTACTCGAGCGTCCACGGCTGAAGTGGGGTAAGTAAAATCCCCTCGTGCACTTTCCTTTTACTTACCGCTCCTGAATGACAGAGTGGAGGCCTTTTACAAAGGCTCCAGTGTTCTTGATGGAACCGGTGCCAAGAAGTAACAAGCTGCTGCTCACACAGCCATGCTGACCCATGCTAAGGGACTGTTGCCCTCAACCAACGCTTCACGCTTTCAGCTGATTAGCTCACAAACATATGTTTTGTACCAATGTTCTGTGGGTAACGTAGTTTATGTTGATATGCATCGGTTTACAGTTGGTGCAAACAGGTAGATTTATGTATCAAATTTCATGCTTATTAATCCAGGTAGAAAAATCCAACAACAAATCCAACAATACTCTGGACGGTTTCTTTTCGTTGAAATGCGTCGTCTTTCATCCAGAAGACTTCGTCAGTCTGAGGAGCCACAATAAACTCAGCACCTTCACATAGTGGGTCAACCAGTTTGATGGCGCTAAGATGGTTTCTGGAGTCCGCCCTCTCCCCCGCCGACTCCTCTGAGGCAACCGTGGCCAAAGTGGTTCAAAACATCAAAGTTCATGCTCAATAATCCAAGTAAAAAAATCCAGCAAAGTTAAGTCAGGTGATTTCATTTTGTTGAAACGTTTCGTCTTTCATCTATAAGACTAAAATAAAGTAAAAGGTAGATTTATGATAAGTATGCTAAAGTTCGCGACCCCACTGTGAGTCATAAAACAGCAATTCTGGCTCTTAAGAGGGTCTCCATAATTCAAACTAAGCTAAAAGGGTTTTGATAATGGGATGTATTATTATTATTATTTTTTTTAACAAATGTTGTTGGAAATGAAAATGGGAGTCGTAAATTAAATAAAAATGGTTGGAATGGTTGTTTTTGTTGACATGATACCCTCGTTAGTTGGATTTTTATCAACGTTTGTTCCGTTAGCATTAGTTGGGGTCATTAATCTCTAACACTGTGGGTCAAAATTTAAAACGTTTCAGAACCACCTGTGTCTCGCAACTGTTTGCAACTACTTGGAGACACAAAATTGCAACCAAAAAAAAAAAAAAAAAGCACATATTTTCTTTAAGAATCCAGTTAGAAACTGTCCAGATGACCTGACTGAAAAATGTTGGATTTTATACCTGGATGGACTTTGTTGTAATCCAGTTAGATGTTTGCAAACACAAGGAACAGTTTGTGGAAACTATTTTGGTCCCAGTTTTCTTACTCTTGTCTCAATTTGATCATAGTTTGTTCTTGTTTTGTATTTTTTTTGTTTTCATTATTTATTTGATTTCACAGGTCGACAAACTCTCCTAAACCTGGTGTTTTCTGACTCACGGAGACTAAATTGAGAAGGCTTTGAGACGGGGTCTAGATTCTCACAAGAACTCGATTTTGAAAGCAGATTTGTTTAGCAAATTCTTCCAAATATGTTCAATCGTCAAATAGTCCATTGTCAAACCCCAATAATAAAAAGCGAGGCCCTGTGACTCATGCAAGTAAACGTTTTGAGACATTTTGCAAACTCCCTCACCAATTCTTCTTCTTCTTTCAGTAATTCGTGTCTTTGTGACTGCTAGGCTGGATTACTGTAATGCTCTCTATGTGGGGGTTAGTAGCTGCTCCATTGCCCGTCTTCAGATGGTGCAAAATGCTGCTGCACGTCTTTTAACTGGCACATGTAAACACGAGCACATTTCCCCCATTTTAGTCTCCCTTCACTGGTTGCCCATACATTTTAGGATCAGTTTTAAGATTATTTTATTTACTTTTAAATCTCTCGGTGGTCTTGCCCCACCCTACCCCTGCGAGCTGCTACAGCCTTACACCCCCTCACGTGCTCTCAGGTCAGCTGATCAGCTGCTCCTGAATGCACTCAAAGCAAAGCTCAAGCTTAGAGGTGACCGTGCCTTCGCCGTAGCAGCTCCTGATGGAACGGTCTGCCTCTCCACATCAGACAGGCCGCCTCGCTGCCTCTTTTTAAATCCCATCTTTTTCCCTCAAGGCTTTTGACACCATATGAGATGTTGATTTTAATATGGTTATTTATGTGATACTCCTTTTACTGTATTTTTTATTGCATAGCTGTTTATGTCTTTTTAATTCATTTTTGTCTCATTTTATTCCTTTTTGTGCTTTTTAACTTGTCTGTACAGCACTTTGGTCCTGTATGGGTGTTTTTAAAGTGCTTTATAAATAAAGTTGGATCGGATTCTTTCGGCTGCTCCTTTCTTCAGCGGTCGCCGCAGCAAACTTAACTCCCATAAAGACTGGGCGATTGTTTTTACACAGGATGTCCTTCCTGACTCAACCACCGAGCTACCACAGCCCTCTGTGTGGAGCAGAGAGCTGCCATCTAGGGCACCTGGGGGAGCAGATAGTGGAGGTTAAGGGCCCAGGTGGGGCAAACGAGGGTGGGGGCAGGTGTGGGCGCTTCACCTGATGTTGTTGGTCCGGGGGGTTGAACTGGCCTGGATTGCAAGCTCGCCTTCTTTAACCTCTACCCCCAATTCCCTCACAAATGCTGTTAGCATTTGTTACGAATACAGTACTAAGGATGGAAATTTAGACGTGCCAGTACCGTGTACTGGTGTGTAGTGGCCTACTTCGAGCATCGACGTAAACTTATCCAGCTGCCGAATAAGTAAATGCTCATTTTTAATCTTTACTTGGCTCTTTTTTTTGACTGCCAGTCACAGCTTCTGCTGTGTAACCACCAGCATCTCGTGTCTTAAGGCTCAACCTGCTTCAGTGTCCTCAAGCCGTTGGGAGTTCTCAGTCAGCGGCACCGCTCCGGGGTCTAGAGCAGCAGTTCCCACTTATTAACAGCATCAGGGTCTTACAACCCCGATTATTGCTGGTCGAAGTGCACAAGCACTGTTAATAAGCCAAAAATACAAATAAGGGTACGAGAGCCCAAAAACGATAAAGAACTATTCAAGTAGTTTTATTCATTTATTTTTGTATAGTAGTTATGGAGAACGTACTGCTGTCAGTCAACTTTGAATTTGATTTGAGTTCTGGAAATCATCTGAAGACTCCGCACTCGGTGCTTCGCTGCTCGTTTTGAATCAAACTTTGGGGACTCCGGAGTGTTTCCTCCAACCTCATTTATGATGCTCATACACTGCCCTGTCAGCTGTTTACTCAAAGAAAAAGAAGGTAGAAGAATGTGGATATTAATTAATCATCTTTTACAGTATTTCCTCAAAACAAATGTCCTCTGCTGTTTTTTTTGAGTCTGCTTATACTTGGACTCACAAACTTTTGCCTGCTGTGTGTTTTTGATGCCACTTTTCAAATGGGTCTAAAATCTGGGCTGCACATGGAGAGACTTGGGCAAGTAAAGACGACTAAATCTAAGTCACACAGGTTTGGCAGTTGAGCGCACGTTTGAGCAAACACAGAACCACAAACCCAAGTCGAACAGCCTTTAATGTGGAGCTCTCTTTAAACAATTTCATCTCCCGCCTCCCACCCCACTATCCATAATCTAACGTTTGTGTTTAGGGGTCGGGCTTTGTGTGATGCAGCTTTGTTTTTAAAGCCATCAGTCAGGGTGTCACAGATTTGCAGGGTGTGTGTGTAGGAGTATGCGCCTTGTTTTCTCTTTGGTCAGTTTTAATTTGGTCAGAGTGTGGGCTCGGGGGTTCACCAGACGACCCAGCTAGCTTTCTTCCAGTGTTGTGATAGCTACCAGTGTCTGCACAGCTTAACTGTGTCCAGATGAGTTCTGGTGCAGGACTGGGGTCCTGTTACCAGTGCACCCGAGGAAAGACGCGCACAAATATAAACCAACACTCTACCTTATAAGGTGACTTTTAACCCCAACCCCAAGCCTGCAGACTTAACTCTCTGGGATAAAAGCGGGGAAACGGCGCGGCTGAAAAACCAGCATGAGAAACACTATGTCGGTCAAACACTTCAGTGTTTTCTTAGTGGGATAGACTCAATATCAGGGGTGCACACCTACACCCACATTCTTTCATGGCACATGGAATGAGTGGACCCAGACACACAGGACAAAGCCTGGCACCTCTCCACCGTCGCGTGGTGAAGTGGATTTTGCTCATGCAGGGTTTTTTTTTATTAAAAAGTTCTCTCCTGGAGAGTTTCTGTGGTTTGTTCCCCCCACCGACACCACTCTTGCTCCGGCTTTCACTCCACATTTGGGAGCCATTAGCCGGCTGAATGTGAGGCTACTGTACACACCCACACATAATGCGTGAGGCCAGGCAGGGAAGCTCAACATTTAAAAACCACCATTACACATACGTGTTTGTGTCTAAGTGGACTGAAAGAAATGGTTCTGTCTGAGAAATTGTCGCTGATAAATGGAAAGCTTTCATGTTTTCATTCCACTGTTATTTTTAAGCTCTAAACACAAACTTTATTTCACTCAAGTGTCTCTTGTTTGTTTTCCATCTCGTATTTTCCCCAGGCAGGAAATTCCCCAGATGGCCCAGAGGTGGGCTACGGCTCTTTCCACCAGCAGTACTGGCTGGACGAGCAGATCGTGGCAGTGGGAGTTATTGACATCCTGCCTACCTGCGTGTCCTCAGTGTACCTGTACTACAATCCAGACTTTGCATCTTTGTCTTTAGGCTCCTACACTGCTCTCAGGTTAGTTGCAAGAAACTAGCTTTAAGTCCAGTCTTGGCTTTTGTGATGTCTTGAGTGTGTGTATATATCTAGTGTCATGGAAAAAAAGAGATTCCCAAAACAACCAGGTGTAGACTTCATCAGATTTATTTTTCAATTTAATTCAGTTTATTTATACGGCGCCAATTCACAACAAAGTTGTCTCAGGGCACTGAGCAGGAACATTCACATACATAGAAAAGCCAATTAGTAAAGTTCTCAATCTAAGGAAGCAGCAGACTCGTTGAATCTTCACTTCGTCGCAGTCTCCCATCTTGAGCAAGAACAAAGGCGACAGTGGAAAGGAAAAACTCCCTTTTAACAGGAAGAAACCTCCAGCAGAACCAGGCTCGGGATGAGCGGCCATCTGCTTTGATCAGCTGAGTTTGAGAGGACAGGAAGGAGAGACAGACGAACACAGAATGGCAGGATACAACGCTTTGGAGAACAGCCAGCAATCATAGCAGATCAATTTCTTTACAGGTTCACACTTATCAATGCTTTCACCTGTCTGAGGCTCTGACCCGCTCTGACTTCCCCAAATGAAAAAGTTAGTTTTGTAGAATCACCCCGGCGCCAGCCTTCAACCACGCCCCTCGCTCTGCCGAGCTGTTATCATCAGTCTCAGCTGCACACAGAGACACGTCAGGTGGTGGAAGTCGAAGACTCAAGGACTCTCTAAGACACGTCACTGTATCTTATCAATATCATATCAATATCATATCAACATCATATCAACATCATATCAATCAAACCTTGAGGATAATAAAAATCATCTCTTGGTTGTCTGTACTGACCGGTCACACCGACTGATTCTGACATGGAACATTTTAATATAAAATGAAAGTGAAAATTATGGAGCATGCTTAGTGCAAATAATACACATTCCCATGACACTACTTTATTCAAACTTTGTGTTATTTTACCCATTCAAATATGAAAACATTCAGCTTATTGGGAGATATGATTTTTGTAACTTCTATACTTTTCAGAATATTAACCTTAATTTACTAATCTTTTCCCCATAGAAATAGAAAAATTTAATTTTCCTCAAACATATTGTTACTATAGCATACCGGTTCTATTTTAGTTCTTTTTTGTTATTAATTTAGTTTTATAGCTGCTGTTCTGCTACTTTTAGTCTTTAAATAGAGTTTTAGCTTTAAAACTCCTGTGACATACAAATAAATAAAGAAAATATTTAGATATTTAATAAATTGGTCATAACACACATGATTTTATCCTTTTTGTCACGTAACTGGCTTTTTAAAAATTTGTTACATTGCTCGGCCAAAGTGAACCAGGAAGTGACATCAAAGGGGAACTTCCTGGTCTTTATTTTTTTGATTTGACTCTTCAACTCTCTGATAGTGATTCAAAATAATATAAGGAAACATCAGGTTCTTCTCCGCTATCTGTGTTGTAAGTTACTACAGCAATGCTCTGTTTACATGCAACCATTCCCCTTTGACATCACTTCCTGTTATTGTCACCACTTCCTGTTAATATGCATGAACGTTTCTCAGCAACTGTTCATCTCAGTAGCATGACATTTTTTATTTTTTTTGGTGGGGGGGGGATTATCTTTCCAAAAAATACATTCATATTTATTACAAAAATTTGATGTCACAGGCACTTTAAGCTAGCATGTTGTTAGCATGTGGCTTCTTTTAGCTTTTAGCTAGTGTTATTTTTATATTTTAAGCTAGTGTTTTGCTACTTTAAGCTATTTAACTTAGCTATTATTATTAATATTTATATAATATAGTATGTACTAAGTAATATCTATTATTAGCTAGTCTAGTCTAAGCTATAATCTTTGTCTTCCCCCAGGTTTTACTTGCAGAACTCCATACGGCACCATAAGTACTATAATATTTAAATCTAATAAATAAATAAAAGATAAGTATTAACATTTGTTTGGTTTTGGCATTTCTCAGGTTGTGGTTCAGCTGATGACAGTTCTCTCCTCCAAGACGAAATAAGAGAACACATGCATACCCGACAGGCGCACACATCCGGCATTTCCTGTAAAACGTAACTCAATAATGTGAGAGAGGCTTTTAAAAACATTTCTGCTCAGATTAGGGGATTGGAGACTTTCTGCTTTAATTTTAGCATGTGTAAATGTTGTGACTTATGAGTGTTTAGGCTTGTGTAGATGCACTAAATCAGCATGGATATGGCCCGGATATTTGCTGCTAGATGAAACTCCTTGGTTCATCCACTGTACAGTCTGGCACCACACGTTTTAATTTCGAATCCCACTGTTGCAGAGTTCTTTGTGTGTGGAGGAGTCCTTAAAAATTAAATTAGAATGGCTGAAATTATGTCACTTGTTTATTGGCTCCATAATAGACTTCCATTCTAGTATTAAGTTGTAAAATAAGTAAAATAATTTGATTTAAGACCGTTTTACCACAGCTTCTAACTGTCAAAAGTACAGTTTACTGTGACAATAAGGACATCATGTTAGAAGTCTACCGTTTGTTCTATACCATACCATACCACTTTATTTATAAAGCACTTAAAACAGCAACAAGGCCAACCAAAGTGCTGTACAGACAGAACAACAGGTAACACACAAAGCAAAATACAAAATGAGGTAAATCAGAATATAGACAAAAAACGATGCAGATAATGACGACAAACCAGTGTGGAGCATACAGGATCAAAACACAGATCATCTTGTGTTGAAAGCTACTGAATAGTAGTGAGTTTTTAAACGGGACTTGAAAACCGAGAGGGAGGGGGCCTGTCTGACGAGCAGAGGTAACTCATTCCAAAGTCTTGGTCCTGCTACAGAGAAGGCCCTGTCACCTCTGCGCTTAAGACGAGTTCCTGGAATGTGCAATGAGTAGCTTGTAATGTCATCCCAGAGCTGGTTGTAGAGATCTGGTATATCTAACCAAACGTTCTGAGGAACCCCTTGGTTTAAAGCCGAATAATAAATGGTTTTATTTTAATTTTGACCACAAATAGCCTCTTTTCAATGCTCGGTTTTCCCTTCCCATAAACCTAAACACAACAAAAACAAAAAAGTTTAAATTTACCAACGTACACGTAGCTCCCATCATTTTTTGCTGGACTGAAATTTTATCTCACAGCCCAACTTCAGCTGAGTTATCGAGTTCATAACCAGGTTTGTAGCACAGCTAAGTGTTGAGCTACATCTTCTTATGAGAACATGGGTACGTTGAATTTACGTTGTGGCGTTTAGCATCGGTGTTAACACTTTATAGACTAATTGACAAGACACCTCAGTCCGGGACTGAGACGTGTTCTGACCGCCTCGGCCCATTCAGAAGACACACGAGGTGTCGAGGGAGGGGGATAAGTCTGGCGTGCCTTTATGCCTCTGACTAAGGTGGTAACAGGGCTGGGCTGGCCGACGATTTAAAGAAAACAAATAAAACAACAAGGAGCTGCGGCTCAGTACTGTGATGAACTGATGACATTAGTTGCCAATTCTTGCTTGTGGGATTACACAACAACAACAAACAGATGGATTATCGGGGGAATATTGATGTTGACGCACAGAAATGTTGTAATTAGTTTAAAAAATGTAGTTGACCACAAAGAGGATCCCTAAAGTGAGTTCCTGATGTTTAGAAATGACACCAGGGAGACGTCTGACGCACATTTAACGCATCGTGCTTCAGCCCAGCAGAGTTCTGCTCCACGCCTGCCCCCAGCCCGCTTCATTTCTGAAAGTAAACGTCTGAGCGGGACACGGCCGGCGTTGTCTGTGCGGCCATTTCTCAGAACTGTCTTATGAATGTGCCTTATCTTTAGTGAGTTTTCAGACCCCTTAAGTGACTTTTGTTTTATTGAGTACACATTATACGCCTCTCAACAAACCATTATACATCAATCTATAGCAATGGTCCAGACAAACAAAGGCCTTGTATAACCTTTGACCTTGATTTGTGTCCTTGGCCTTAAAGTTAGGGTGATGAAAGGATCAACGCGCTGTCTTGTGGTACAGAGTTGTCTTACGTTTCATTGAAATATCTTAGGTGGAGCAGAATGTATGGAGGGGACAAGCAAAGACCTTGTTTTAACGTTGACCTTAATCTGTGACCTTGACTTTGAACCATGAGGGATGAAAAGGGTATGCAACTCTCCGTCTAGAGATGATGCATATGTCTGTCAAGATACCATAATATGTCCGTCTTCGGTGCTCGTATAAAAAACCCATTTAGTGACAAATTAACAACTTTTTCTGGTGTTACTGAAGACTTTTGGAGGCTGATGGGAAAGCATTGTTCTTACGCTTCTCAACGAGTAGTGGTTGCTCTCGTTTGGGTCAGTTTCACCGTCCAGTTAAAGAAAGACGGTTGGAATTGTGACAAAAAAAATAGATAAAAAACAAGAATTGAAATATGAAAGTTAATTTGTAGTTCTAAACATATTTAATGTTTTTCAATCACGTTTCGTCTTTTCCACAACGTTATTTCTCCCACATCATATATATTACTTATTATTATTATTATAAGGGCAGCTGTGCCCGAGTGGTTAGAGCAGTCGTCCTCCAATGCAAGAGTTGGGGGTTCGACTCCACCAGCCGTCACATGCCAAAGTGTCCCTGGGCAAGACACTGAACCCTCATTTCCTCTGATGTGTGTATCATCGGTGAATGAATGTGATAAAGCTCTGATGAGTCTCTTTAGAATAATTTGTTCTATTAGTTTTGTAGAGATTATGAGTGCTGTATGAATTGGTACACGAGGTAAAGAGCTTTGAGTGTCTTGATAAGATAAGAGGTGCTATATAAGTACAGTCCATTTAACATTTACCATATATTACATGGATATCACCAATATGTAATTGAGGGGATGATGTCATTTAGTGAATTTTAGGACAGCCAGTAACATCTTCTCTTTGAGTCACCGGCTGTGATGTGACTGACCCAACAGGCTGCAAAACTTCCACTCGCGCACTTTTTAAATAAAATATGTCATGTCACTGAGCATTTTTAT